TTATTATTTATTTAAACAATTTTTTTTATTTCATTATTTTATTATTTATTTTATTTATTATTATTTAATTTAATTTATTATTATTTATTTATTTTATTATTTTATTTTTTAAGCGACATTTTATAATTGTTATTATTATTTTAGACAATATTTATTGTCTATCATTTTTCTATATACTTTTTATTATTTTGGGATTTATTGTTATTTTTTTATTTCATTTTTTTATTTATTTTATATTATTTTTAAAAATTTTTTTCTAACATTATTTTATTTTATTAATTTATTTTATTAAAATAATTTTTATTAATTCATAGTTTAAATTCATCTAATATTAAAACAAAAAAAAATCAAAAAATATTAACTTTGATGTTCTTTATTTTTTTTATACGAGAATCAATTTGGCTTTCGAATTTTTTTTTTTATTTATGCCATTTTGCAGACACGTTTAATTTAAAATATAAAACAATGATCTTAAAATATTCACTTTTAAACACAAAACTGCGTAAACAATTTACTTTTAAATTTAATATTTATATATTCTTAATGTAAAAATAAAAAAAAAAAATGTGTGTTTAATCTTTAACTATTCATCTTTTGAAAAAAATTATTTTTTTTGTTTGGGTTCAATAAGATCACTTAATTTTAAAAATTTACCCCATATTAAGAACATTTACAAACACACACACACACCAATAACAAACAAATTTTGTTTTATAATAAAATAACTCGATATTAATAAGTATAACTCGATATTTTTTCCCCTTTCATTAATGCCTCTTAATCGTGTTTTCAAATTGATTTTATGCATTTTCAATTTGTGTTTTTAATTTTTGGCGCAATTCAGATTGATACCGGCAATTTCTTTTAAACTTTAAAACATCAAATTTTTTTTTTCTTCTGTTGAAAAATTCGGAAATTCGAATAAATTCCCAATAAAACATAACAAGACAAACACACATCACACATTCAACAAATACGTTTTATAATAAATAAAATTTATATATATATATATATATATATATATATATATCTATATATATATATATATATATATATTATATTTTTGTATACTTTATTGAATTTTAAATAAATTTGAAAATCAGAGATAAAAGTGAGTTCAACAAATATATTAACAGTTGTTTGATAAAAATATATACAAACAAAAATATGTTACAACAATTTCAGTTCAAATCTGTGTCAACAGCAATTTGCTGGAATTCCCTTTCAAAGGCAAAATTTATCTATTTTTCAGCTGAACCTTAGAAATGATGCATTTCTCGTGGGTAAATTGCCATAACATATATTTATATATATATATATATATATATATATAATAATAATAATTTTGCCGATAAACGTTCTGGTTAAACTTTTTCCAGTTTTTTTTTCTTTTTAAAAAAAATTAAATGTTTTATTTTTTCTTTAATTTTTTTTATTTGAATTTCAGTTCCACGCTATACTTCTACTTTGGACTGAAATGCATTAAATGTTATTCACTAATTCAATATTGCCCCCCTTCAAGTCTATTCTTTGGGTCTTCATTTGTACATAGCTCAAGTTATTTTCCTTTTATTCTTAATTTTTTTTTTCACACAATATTTGATTGTAAACCTTAAATAGAAACAAACATTAATAAAATATATTGTATACAGTATTTTTTTCTTGTAATGTGGATATATATATATATATATATATATATATATATATATATATATATATATATATATATATATATATATATATTTTGATACACAGAATTGGCAAAATTATCCAAATCGTGAACGATGTACTTATTGTCAATTACTAGAAATAAGCTCTGAGATGTTATATCTTAGAAATTCCATAAAAGATATCTTTGGAATTCTCCGATGTTTTTTATAACTCTATTTTCTTTTTGAAAAAATATACTCTCTAAAGAAAACAAAAGTATCGTTTTTTTGATCATAAACAAAAATTACATGTTCATCATTTATATAATCAGAGCTAAGGATCGGAATCATTTAGGATTGAAATTGGTTCAAACATATATATATATAGATATATACATATATATATATATATATATATATATATATTATACCATACTCATTTTCAAATTATTCAAAACAATTTCGTCTCTAACTTTCTAACCTTCTGTCCTGAAATTAGAAGGTGCAAAACATATTTTCACATACGATCTTATTTTCAAGTCTTTTTTCGCTGCTTTTTGGACTGTCATACGTGAAACTCCTCTTTCAAAATCAAAAGACTCATGCTTTTATTTTGAATTTTTTTTGGCTAAAATACCTCTTTTTTTCTCTAAGTTTAAAAAATGTTCCTCTTCCAAATGTGACCGCCTTTATCCCAGTTTCCTCCCTAACCCTACATTTTCCCTCTTTTTAAAAAGACTAGTCACGGCTCTCTTGAAGGTTCTTGAACGGACTTTAGAAATGGAAACCAGTGTATGAATGTTGAATACCATTACCGAAAACCTGAATGGATGAAATTTCCTCTCTTACCATTGCTCATTTTTCAAAATTGGGGCTTATACAAAAAAGATTTTTTTCCTGTTCTCTTTTAATAATAATAATAATATATATATATATATATATATATTTATATAGATAAATATAGAAAAAGAGAGAGAGAGAAATTTGGAATATAATGTTATTTTCAACCTTACTTTTCCTTAATTAAATTTCTAAAATTTTTTGAATAAATTTCTTCAATGAATTAAACCAAGATAAAACATTTTTTAATTGTGATTTCAGTTGTTATCTAGTTATTTATTTTCTTAAACAATTTTTTTTACATATATATATATATATAAATAAATGTGTGTATTATATATATATGTATATTTTGTATATGATTATTCATAGTAAGAAGAATCATACTATATTGTATATATATATATATATATATATATATATATATATATAATATATAAATATATATATATTGTAGTGGTTCCAACGAGAGAAAAGTATGTATATTAAAAAGAAGAGAAGAGAGGTGCCGCAAACGTTTTTGGTTGTAATGTGGATTTATTTAGAAAAAAATATTATTTTTTTTTTACATAATTTTACTACACGTGTTTCTGGTCTCGCGACCGTCTTCAGGTAAAAGCGGAGATTTCCACATATTATTAAAAATAATTAATTTTTCCCTTATGTTTTCAATGTTAAATATTCTCGATATGAGACATTCTCTGTTTTTGTGTTAGTAATCCGAATTTCTTTCTTGAATTGGCAATGAAGAGTTCTGCGCGAAGGGTCATAAAACCATGACCCTTTATATATATATATATATATATATATATATATATATATATATATTTTTATATTCCATAGATAGATTTATTATTTTAAATATATTTATTGTATTCCCCATTTTAAATCAGTTATATGCTTCATTAAAGTTAATCTATCTGGTCATTTATGGGTAATAAATTGGGAATATCAGGTGCTGAATTCATTGATATATTTTAAAATATCATGTAACATATTTTTATATCCGAATTTTAATTAATCCGGTGAATTACCTTTGGGGAAAGGTAGAACCTGAACACCAGCTATGGATTAATTAAAATATTCAATTTAAATGTTATAATTATCTCTTAAAATCTAAAATATTTTCACCGTTTACAACCCACAAAAAGGTTTTAAACCTTAAAAGTTAGATGTTAGTCAATATCGAGACTGTTTTATTTATAACCACCAACACTGATAAGGATCCTGTATTCTCGGCATATGTTACCTTGAAAATGTTTGATGCATTATTGAACCTTATGTTTAAACAATATCAAAAATAACATCTCCGCATATTCAGGTCGTAACTAGAGAAAATGAACCAATGTTTTTGATTGAATATATATAGTTTGAAGAGATAAATGGAAGATATTTATCTCATATAATAATTAATTGGGAATATTTTCGCAGATAAAATTAAATGTTCATTCTAATTAAATCTATTTTATAAAAATTAATGAAAACTTTTATATTTTATATTTTTAGATAGATAGATGTGGCTTCAACACTCTATAATTAATAATGAAAAACTAGATAATAGGTAATAATGAGGTATATAACAGATTTTTTTCTACTAAAATTTGACCCAATATAATATTGAGGTCCAATATAAAATGATGACAGTGAATTAAATTTCAGTGTTGAATAAGTTGTGTGATGTATATCGAGAAGATAGTAAGAAATGAATAGATTATTATATGCATTATACCTTAACTCGATGATGTTTATCACTACGATGATAATAATAATAATAATAGATAGATAGAAATAAGATAATTAAGAAACTGAAACAAATGTCTGAATAAGAAACCGAAGTTGAATAGACGATAAATGATTTTTAGATAGATAGATTATTTTTTATTTCTTTATAGATGTTCTTATTGATATATGAAAGCGTGTTTGATTTCTAAACACAAAACACATTCATAAACCCCCCCATTACAATCCGCATCCACATCTTCTAATTTATCTGTATCTTTAATCTCATCTATTGACGCTTTTGTATATATATATATATATATATATATATATATATATATATTATTTATATATATATATATATTCATATATATATATATCAATATTTTTACTGGCGGGCTTGTCTAATAAACAATACATATATTGATATAATTGGCTAATTTATACATACGATTTCACACATATATATATATATATATATATATATATATATTTAATATATATATTTAAATATATATCATATATATAATTGAGTCGATTTTATATATATATAATATATATGACATTTTTTTGTTTCATGGATGCTAATTTCAAATCTTAATACATATGAACAGACTCCCTGCAGATAGATGATCCATTAGATAGATAGATAATGAATCCAAATGATAAGATTCGATTTCATAGACAGAATTGTATTTCAGTTAACCAGATAGATAGTCTGATGATTTGCTAGATAATGAAAAGAATTTCAGATAGTTTGAGATAATGAAAATACTTCGTATATATCCATAATTAAATAGTGAAAAGAAATAAAAAAAAAAATAGATAGAAAGATAGAAACAAAGAAAAAAGAAAATGAACGAGATAGATAGATAAAAAGATAGGAAAAATACTGAAATAACGGAAGAAATAAATATTGAAATTATTCAAAAGATAAAAAAATACTGAAATACATATATAGATAAAGAAATATGAAAAGAAAAGATAGATAAAAAATATAATAATAAATAATAAAATGATGAAAGATAAATAATAAATAAATAAAAAAATACATATATAGATAAAAAATAAATAATTGAAAAAGAATATAAGTAGATGAAAGAATGAAAGAAAGAATGGGAGAAAAAAGAAAGAAAGAAAGATAAATAATGAAAAAACATGAAATTAATGACATAAATACGTGAAAAGAAAAAGAAAGGAATAGATAGATAATAGATGATAAAATTAAAAAAAAAATAGATAATAATGAAAATAATGAAAATTGTCGAATAGTTTAGAAACATAAAAGAAAGAAAAAGAATCGAAAGATAAAAGAATGAATAGATACAATAATGAAAATACTGAAATAAGTATATAATAAAGAATAGTGAAAATGATAATAGATAGATAGATAGATAATAGATTCTAAGTTAGATAATTAAAAATGATGAGATAGATAGACAATTGAAGAAAATGAAAAACTATAATATAATATAAAAAAGTTCAAAAGGAAAATGTTCGAAAATAAATAATGAGTTTCATCTTAGGAAAAATAAAATATTTTCTGATTTGAATTTCTACATAGTTAAATAATTAAAATTCTAAATCTGCATTGGTAGATAGCTAAATAGTTGTCTTCAAGATCAGATTGCAGCCATACATTTTGATATTTGTAACCTATAGATAATGAAAATGATGAGATAGATAGATTCATATTGTGAAAATTACTCGCAATTGGGATATTGATAATTCTAAATTCAAAAGAAAAGATGTGTAGATAGATAATTATAGATTATTTACATAGATTTATGAAATATTTCGATAGAATCAGTTTATTGGCATATGAAAATAAAATAGATAAATCGATATGATAATTTCGAAAAGATCGATATAGTTCAGATTTTATTAATATCTTTATAATATGCAATGATTTGATTTTAATGAAAATAATTGGATAAAATAGATGGATTCTCTAGATTTGATAGATGTATAGATGAATAGATGGATATTATAGATAATGAAAATACATAAAAACATCCAAAATATTTCCAGGGGGAGATGGTGAAAATATTCAGAGAGATAGATTTCCTGGTGAAAATATCTTAAATAGATAATGAAAAAATAACAAGAATACATCTTGAAAACTCTTCGAACATTGATGGATTAACTAATAATATTTTATACCATCATATCATTATATAATTTTTTTTAAATCTATTTGAAATATTTTTCCATGAAAATACCAAACGTTATTCACTAAAACATTTAACATCAAAGACATGAAGCTTTCATTTTATTTGTCTTCATGGTATTTTTTCAATCTATATGTATTCTCCCTATCCATTTTTTTAAAGTGGTGAATAGGTTGCATTAAATTTTTAATGTTCATCATAAGCCTTCGTTGGTTTTTGGGACATTCATAAGCGTTCGATAACTGCAAAAATATATTTCGTCAAAGAAGAATTATTTTAAATATGGCTATATAGTTTGTTGAGGTATTTTTTTTTTTATTTTAGGGGTCTCTAATAATTTGAAAATACGTCGAACATGTGTTTTCGTAATCCATTTTTGGAAAGCCATTTTCAAATTTCGGTCATTCTGTGATTTAACAAATGGCCTCATAATTCTTCATAATAAATATTTAAAATATTTAAATGCATTAAACGAATCTTTGTAAATGACGAAAATGATTAATGGATATATCTAAATTTCTGAGATGGGTATTATGGCAAATGTTTACAGACTTTGTACTATTGTCCTTATCTTTGTTGCTATTCAATCACTTTTTCGGCTCATGTACGACATACCTTCGTAAACAGGATGTGTTCTATGCATTCCTCCTCTCTATTCCATTGATAAGATCCAGTTCCATTCCAAAGGTTCTGAGTTCAATAACCTGGTTAAGACAATAGGACTCGATAAGAATTTTCAAGATACAATTATTTTTCCATTAGACTTTACAAAGACGAAACACTGAAAAACGCTCAATACTGTAACTTTATTTCCATGAAAAATAATTGGACGTGCTACATTCTTTAGTTCCACCAGTTCAGACCATCATCAGCTGAAACTCCTCTATAAATAAATATTTCCAAATGATGAAAACAATCATCCGAATAATTCCTATTTCGATTAATCAGAAATAAACCCAAGGTTATTCTTTTCCCTATCAATTAAACGCTAAATTCAACAGGAAAAAATATTCACAGACTTCCTTATTAAAGTTTTTTTCTTTAGTTCAAAAGTTTACAACTACGACTCTCCGAAACCAAAATCTGTAATTTTTTGAAAATTATAATGAACAAGCATCATTGTCTATTTCCACTCCGTCCAAAACTTTAAATGTTTAAGAATCTCTTTACACTATTTGAAAATTCTGATGGAAATTCTTTCACTGTCCATCGTTTGTTTTTTCCATTAGACCAGACCATTAAATCTAAGCCTGTCTCTACAAAATCGCTATTTCAATGGAAATTCTTTATATGGGTTCAATTCTTAGTTCCAAAATCATACAAAATTCTAAATGATATGTCTCTAGTTGGCCATGTCCCTTTAATTCGTGTCAAAAAATTCCGTTTCCAGATTAGTGCAGTGTGAGATGCAACAAAACCGAATGTTTATTTGATATTGTTCAAAAAATCGAGGATATCTTTAAAGCCACAATCAACAATGGTTGAAAGTAAACGAATTTCTAAACAGTTCTTCCAAATCCTTTAGACTACCTCTATTGATTATTTCCACTAGTTCAAGCCTTTACATCTAAGCCTGTCTCTACCCCATCGCAATTTCCATGGAAATTCTTTAGACTACCTCCATTGTTTATTTCTACCAGTTCAGACCTTAACATCTAAGCTTTAGCTTACTCCATCGATATTGCCAGGGAAAATGGCACATGACACAGTGAATAAAGGCGTTAGTTAGATCCAGTGACAGGACCCAAAGTGTGTGAGTTCAATACCTTGTTAAGGCGGTGGAGAACTTAGAGAGAGGAATTAACAGGATATATTTGATTACTGACACCCATTAGACATATGGCCCGTTGAACTAGAACAGTCTACCACAGCGAGCGAAATAAAGAGTTCAGTTCGACATTCCAACGACCTGAAGAAGACCGGAAGGTACTACGACTGAATCCTTGCAATAAATATGGCAACACAAATGAGGACGATAGTCCAAACAATGTAAATAGTGTACATAATACCTCATCTCTGAAATATATATATATATATATATATATATATATATATATATATATATAAAGACATTACGTTAGATTTAGCTGTTTCTCTCTGTCGAATGAAGATATCTCTGTAACTCTGACACCAAATCGTTTGGGTTTTCGATCCGGGCTCGAGGCATTTGGATGTCTAGTCGGACTGAGAAGCTACGATACAGCGAAACTGTACTGGCTACTAATGACATAACATACACACACACACACACACACACACACACACATACATATATATATATATATATATATATATATATATATATATATATATATATATAATTATAGTTATTAAATTATATTTGGTGGAGACACGTGTTTTTGTAGACATCAATACTGTTTTTTTATTGATTTGTCTATTCAAAATTAAAGAGACCTTACCTCCCATCAGTGTTTTATCTTACATGCTGCTTTTATGGAAACCACACGCACAGATATACAGATATATAAATACGTATAGAATTAAATTAAAATCCCCAGTACTGTTTCATTTTCAAGCGATTTTTGGAATAACTTATTTAGAAATTTGCTGAGTTTATAAGCTCATACAATCTTGATAGTATTAGGTTACGTGAAATTCAATCATTTTGATAAGGGGTAGCAGGGTATTCATTTTCATAGACAACCTGTGTATCTAAATATAATTTACTTTAAAAATCAGGTTAATTTACGTTAAGGTAATGGTACCTGTTCAACAAATGATGAC